CACCTTCCGAGCGGCTGGACCCGGGGAGCCGGCCGCACTTTGTCACCTCGGGCGTGTTTGACATCAGAGGTCGATGACTGAAGCGCGGCGTAAGGGAGGCGATAAATTACCGAAGGGACGGGCAGGCGGAGAGCGATGGAGGTGTCTTCGTGTAGTCATCAGCAACAGCTCCCTGCGCGGTGGGCAGGTCCCTGCTCTTCTGTCACGCTGTAGTACAGCAGTGGGCACTCTGGGTGTGCGTGCACAGGTCCCTCCTGCGGCATTTTCGTGTACTTGTGGGACTTTTCTACCTATTACTTTGGCTCAGATAAGTTTCTTGCTGCGAACAGCACCAGCACATCTTGCCACTTGTTTCTTCTAGCTCTTCCACGGACACGCGTGACAAGTTACATCAGTCACGTGGTGGTTTCCTTTTGTAGAGAAGAAAGGCACACCAGGAACATGAAATCGTTTCTTTCTTTTATTTTTCATATTGAAATCCCATACCTTGTTATTGTTTTCTGAGATGAGCATATTCGGGAACTGACTGTGCTATCTAGACAGTTTAGCCAAAACAAAGCTGTAAATTCACAGCTTCTGTATTTTATCCTGAAATGAAGAACTTCCATATTTTATTCTGAAATTGGAGCTCCCCAGAGCATGCAGCCTCTCAAAAGCATTTGCTAGTTGCATCTTGATGCTTTGAATATAGGAGAATGCAATATATTTATTTGTTCTTAATATCATGCTTTTATATGAGAGGGAAGTTGTAAACACAGGTTGCATGAGGGCTTTTGATTGTATTTCTGTGGTCAATAGCCATTTGTTTCATAGGTGATGGTGTCTGTGTGTGTATGAACATGTGTCCATAGGTTCTGGGAACTCTTTCTTACAAAAAATCCTTTTTAGTGACCAGGACATGCTAGGTATTTTCTCTGTATACATGTGTGTATGTAAATACATATATATACACACACACACACATAAATGTATTGGAGATGGTTAGTGTTAGAGCAGCAGTGCATTTCCAGTGCCTGCTGAGTCTAGCGTGTTCAGGGTGGATGCAGTGGAGCAGAGCAAGCTTGCGTCTGTGTTACTACCAGCTGGCAGCCTGATCTAACAAGTTTATTTTGCCTCTTCTGCAATGACCTTACAGGTAAGGGCCTCAGACGAACTACTGTTTTGCAAGCATAGTCTCCCTTTCCCTCAAGATGGCTGTAATCCATTTTTATTGTCTGCAGGGAGATCATGGTTGCATCATAAATGCAAATTTTTTATTTTTATTTTTTGTAAGGGAAACAGTGAGGAAACATGAGAGGAAGGAATGACTTTCCATCCCAAGGCTGTTGGAGGAAGTTTCCATTTTGCAGTATAGTTGGATCTTATTCCTGAAGAGCTTTCAGTGGAGCACTGGGTTAACTGGGTGATGGGTGTGTGCCTGCCTTCCCAGTGCTGGCAGCTGTAAAATCTCCTGTTTTGAAGATATTACTGATGTTTATTTGTGTATCTTGCTCAGCAATTCATAGTGTTTCCTATTGCCATGCTCAGTGTGGAGACATCCAGGCAAATACCCCGTGTTTCTCTCTATTTAATGTTGTGAAGCAGTGCGATTCTGCCTTGTACCTAGCAGTCGGAGCTGTAAGCCCGAGATCGTCAGTGTCAGATGATGTCTTTTTTCCATTGGCTTCAGGAGGTGTTGTATAATTAACAAGGAGGCACTTAATGTCTTTTCTGTCTTCTCTATTGAATCAAAAATATAGTATCAAGGCAATTAGTAATCCTTGCTTAGTTAGAAACAGCAGTGGGTGACAAATATTTTGCGAAGTTATCTTACTTGAGTCAATATTTTCTATAATTTGTGCCCCCAACGCTGTTTTTATTTTATATGCAATAACAAAAGTCTAAAAAAATGATTACACCCACTCTAAAGCTGGCCATTTTCATTAGTCATTTTCCATCTCATTTCAATTATATAGTGGGATTTCCAAGCGCTTAATATTTTACACGTCTCCAGAGTTACAGATTACTGTGGTTTTCTTTCGTTTCTTGGGATTTCAGAGTAGGTACAATATTGCCTATTGCTCCAGCAGCTGTTGAGAGAGGATCTTCCCAAATAAACACAGAGCTGAATTGCTAGAAAGGGGAGCAGAAGGTAGGAGCATAATGTGATGCCAAGGTCACGCTCAGTGGAGGCCAGGCTTCAGTTTAATAAGTGGTCATTAGCCTTGATGTTCTACAGAAGCAGAGCTTATAAAATGTGGTACACAGGCTCCCCGGTGCATCCCAAGGCAAGAACCTGTAATCTGACAGTGAAAGTAATCATCCTTGAGCTTGGGAGACACTAAGGGACAATGCAGAGTTTTTACTCCTGTCTTTGAAACGGGACCGTACGTCAGGAATTCAGAGCCTTCAGTCGTAGCGCTTTCCAGTGCTCAAATGCGGGAGGATCGGTCCACGCTATGGTACTGCCAAAACAGTTTCTCTGGTACAATTTCATTGAGGTTATATTAGCAAACTAACTGATCCAAATCATGGTTTGTTTCCATAGGTTTCCCGTTCTCCTAGTAGTACTTCTAATCTGCATGTTTAAATATCACCCTCAGAAGCATTTGGTGGTGTTTTGGGTGCGGTTCTATGTAATACTGTGTTAGCATCACATAGGTACTTCGGACTGGAAATCAGAACTTCTGACTAATATGTTGCCTTAAGAACGTCTGACTTGGACACTTAGGCCAAATCCAAGCACCCTGTCTCTCTTTTTTTTTTTCCCCTCCCACTCAGTTGCCTTGAAGAACAGGGTTAAGGTAAAGGTCCTTAATAGTTAAGACTGTTGAAATTATTCTGTTTCGTAGTTCCAATATTGCAATTTCATATTTTTCTAATATGTCTTCCTATACTTCCTCTTCCAGGTACTTCATACTTAACAGATATAGTATGGTGGTCTGGCACTATTGCAAGTAAGTATCTTAAAAGGTGTGATTTTTATTGAAGGGAGAAATTGTTCTTAGATGGTGAAACAAGACATCAGGAAATCTGGGTTCTCATCATGAATCTCACGCTCACTTGTCATGAAATTCCCATCCCTCAGAAATATCCCACCTTTAGTAAGCTCTCGCTCTGGCTACTGTGTCTGATCGTGTTTGAGAAGGCAAAGAGCTGGGACAAACCTGAGTCAGACATCTTCCCACATTTCCAAACCGTTCGGTACTTGCAGCCCTTGGCAGCCATGCGCTGCTCTGACTCTGGGTCCCTGCACGGTTTGTGTCTCTGGATTGCACCGGTCCGCTCAGTTTTTAATCAAAGTCAAAGCTGAATAAGAAGTTGTTGCTCTGCACAAAAGGGCTCATTGAGCACATGTTATTTTTCAGATCAGAAAGAACTTAGCCAGCCTCAATTAAAAAAAAAAAAATCCTTTTTGGTTTCTAGTTTGACAGATTCAGTTTCAGTTTTGCTTTTAATCTACAAGATTAATGTGAAGCCTTGTGTGGTGCTATGAGATCAGTATAATTTTACACTTAGTATCTTTGTAAACTCTGCTCACACGAAGTTCACTCTCTGATGTGAATCTAGAGCATGGGGAGCAGCTAACTTTCTCCTCTTGCAGTTCAACCTTAGTTCTACCCATGAGCTTAAAAACATACACTGCTTTTAGACTGTAATCCAGCCTTTTGTGAATTATTTGGAAATGTTCTGATGTTGTTTCTGAGAAATACGTGAGTCCAGTTGTGCCCCTTGTTTCGTAGCAGCAAGGGAAGTCTCTGTTTTTGTTGTTTTCAAGCTATGCAAGAGGAATGGAAACATAGATCCGTTGAAGGACAAAGTTCACAGCAAGTGTAGAAGCCAACCGAGCTTCAGAGGAAAGTCCTCAGCTAATTTAGCTTGAGCTTAAGTAGTTCTTTGTCATCTTCCTCCCCTGCCAGGATCACTACTACCTGAGTAGCAATAAATCTGTGCATTAATCACTGTTGTTTATCACTCATGGGGCTCCTGTCTTCAGTCTCCGAGCAGGAGGAGTTAAAATAAGAGAGGTTTTGTTACAGGACTTTATCTTGGTGAATCAGAGAAAATGATTTCACGCTTAAAAGAGCTGACTGAATTGAGTGAAGGCAAAACAGCTGAAGGGAATGGTATCAGTTGGCTTTTGTCCAGTAGCTAGGTGCAGGTATTTCAAAACAAAGCCTCAGTAAGTTTACAAAGGAACCAAGGGAAGAATTGTTTTAAGGATATTGTAGATTCAGAATTGCAGCGGAGTCGCAAACGGCAATAGCAAGGGCCAGGTGGGCACCTATGGGATGCAGAGAAAGGTGATGTTTGGGGAATTAGCAATATCCCCAGACATCGGGGCAAAATTAAAACAGCTGATATCATTTTCTCAAGCAGGGAATTTGGAGTTTGGATGACTAACAAAACCCACATAAACTCTCTCAACTTGTTTTCACACTATTTGTTCAGATGGTGAACAAGCATTTCTGTTTGGCATGCTGGCTCAGCATAATGCTGCCTAACTATTTTGGTGCTTTGGGATCCACTGGATTACTGAAGACTTCAAAGGAAGGGCTACAGATTCTGCTAAGGGAGTTTTTCTTACCCTGTAGTCAAAAGAGTGATGGCAGCATGTGTACAGGTATTTCAATGAGCATTAAACTAATCAGTTGGCTAATTAACTAGTTTCAGTGCAGGTTTTGATAGCATAGATGCGGCTGCTTTTTATCGTGGATACATCTATGTTAGTGTTTTATTGCAGACGGGGAATACACTTGTGAAGTGCATCTCCTGTTTGTCTCCATGGATTGGGCTTTATTTCACATTGTGGAGCCGTGTTGGAGCTCCAGAACTGGACTTTTAAGATGAAACTAGGCTGGAAGATGCACCCTAGGAACACACCTAATGCTCACCAGCTGCAAATAGACTTTCAGTCTGTGGGAGCAGGCTGAAGTTAGTCTGAAATAAAGCCCCTGACATGCTTAGAGCAGACATCTTTTGCTGTACGGATCTACTCCTGGTCTCCTTGCTAGTGTAGACATGTCACTGTGTATCGAGTGTTGCGTTGCAATAACTTGGGGGATATTGGTACTTCTTTAGCAAGTTTAAAGCTTGGTGTGCCTTCAAGAAATGAAGCTATGTCTTGACTTACAGCATTGATGTGTCTGGAGAGGAAACTATCCAGAGAGGACTGGTTAGCTTGGCAGCAAAGGTCCTCAACATCAGGTAGATGGTAACAAGTACTGAGATTCTTTTTTTAATTGATCTTAATTAGTCCTGATCTGTCATTCATGCTGGTAAGATTACTATTACTCCATGGTGATACTGAAAACCCCTGGTAAGTTCAGTTACCTTACAATATGTGCGGTTTGAAGCTTCAGAGATGTAATTTATGGATTGGTGTTGGTGCCATCTGTTAGGGTTCTTCCAGCAGAAAGTTAAGGCACCTGACCTCCAAAAAAAGCAACCTTTTGTCAGAGTCACTTGGAAATGTATGTAATCTGCAGAAACACAGCGTGCCAGCTGTGCCTGATCCTCCATGCAAGATCTGCCCCAGTGCCTTTGGATGCCTCGAAGATAATGCCGAAATTGCCACGTTGGTCTGCTGAAAACCAAGGCTGAGGCTGATAGCTGGGTTACTGTGTTCCTGGGGCAGGGAGACCATCACAGGCTCTTGTGCTGTAGAAATGCTGCTTGTTAACTTCTCTGGCTCACTCCTGCATGTAGAGGAAGCCTCAGTGAATTGAATTAGTCTAATTTTGCCACAGTCTGCAGTTTTGTAAGTTTGTTTGTCTCCTTCGTGTTTGCTGTAGGTTACACAGGTCTTCAGCTCTACTGATAATGTGAGCTAATTTGGTAAATTAATTAATGTTTGCACAGTGCTTTGCAGGTGTAAAGAACAGGATGATGGTAACGATATTTGAGAGTCAATGGCAATGCAAGCCTGAGCATAAAGACAGCTTGGATTCTTCAGATGTTTTTAAATGCTGATAATAGCTCTTAACATCAACTGGAAATTTAAGCTGTGTGTAATTTGAGTTCAATCTCAAGGTTCTTGCCAGTTACCACAGACCCTGTAACTATGCAAGCATCATATTGACCTATTATAAACTTGCCAGCACTTGCAAAACCGTCCAGCCTTTCTTTTTTAACTGAAAACTTGAATGCATGAACTGTTTAGCACAGCTGTGATGTGCAATAGTGTGGTGTATCTTGGAATTTGCTTTTATTGGGGAAAAGAAAAAAATGAGGTTGTGAGGCTGTTATTGTGACTTGTCAGGGGTCTGTTCTTTTTACAGTGGTGAGGAATTACATCTGGTGTTATATAGCATTGTGAAAATTTGATGTGGTCTACTGTGTATTGAAGAGCCCTTATGCATGTGCTTAGTATTTCATTTCCTCAGTACTGTCCTTATTTTCCCCCTAAAAGGTAACGCTGCTGTTAGGAACTATAAACAAGTGCATTTGTGTTACGTGTATGCACATTCTAAAGATGAAACATGGGTTATACATACTTTTAGCCCTCCTCATATAAATATTTGAGTGTAATATTGAGATATTTGAGTGTAATCCATGAGTGTTTCTAATTCATAGTCTTACTTGTATTAAACTAAGAGAAGTTGCAAATGAGATTAGTTACTGTGCCCTCTTGGATCTTCTTGTGTGGCAAATATAAATCCTATATTGAAAACTAATTGAAAAATACAGAAAAAATGTAGCCATTTTGTTCAAGTGCAAAATTAACAGAACTTGGCAAATCTGTAACATCTGTGTTCCAGTTAGGTCAGTCTTTCCCAAACAGTATTGGGTAAGTTTTCATTACTTCTTTTTACAAAGGGATTTGAAGGCTTGTTTCTGGTTCTCTTGACAGTGGCTCTGGGTCAAATAGGGAATTTCTTGGCCTACACTGCAGTCCCAACTGTGCTAGTGACGCCCTTGGGAGCTCTTGGCGTTCCATTTGGGTAAGAGTTTGCTTTTCTTGTTCTTATCTCAGTGTTGCTACTACTTCGTAAAATGTCAGAGAGACTCAGTGATCGCTGGAGGTCCACTGAGAAGATGTCAGGCTTATGACTGTTAATGATGTGTTACGATGTCACGTATTCCTGTTTTCCCCAGCAAAGTGGCAGGGGTGGGAGGCAAAGGCAGTAGTGGAGAAAGGGTTGCTGAGTATCTTCTGCTTTAACCAGCACTATGATCTGGAACAGATAAACATCTTTTTTTAAAAAATATTTCCCCCCCTTCATTGTGGTTATTCTGGATTCTTCTGACTATTCTCTTATTCACAGTTCCTTTACTGTGTAGATCTTTCCTTTTGTCTCGCATTCTTTCTTCCCCTGCTATCCACAGCCCACGTGTTTATTGATGCCGATTTTCATTTAATTGGATTTGGCCCCTTTCCTGAAGCAAGGGAGTCCCTTGCATATGCATGCCCCCAGCTTCTTGTATGTGATATTCATGGAGGGGAACAAAAAAGGCAGTGAATGTTCCTAAGAGGAATTTAATATGCGACTAAATGTTTTGTGAATAGCTAAACTACAGTTGTGAAACTACTGCAGTGAAAAAGTACAATTCTTTAAAAACAAAGCTGTGCATTACCTTGAGGTTTTTCTGTTGCCTGCTGTTGGCTGCTGAATTGCGTATCTAACTACACCGGTCATCTCCTTCAGAGTGTAGATTGCTTTGTGTTGTGGTTTAACCCCAGCCAGCAACTAAGTACCACACAGCCAGCCACTCGCTCCTCCTCCCCATCCCACCGGGGTAAGGTAAAACCCGTGGGGTGAGTGAAGAACAATTTCATAATTGTAATGAAAAGGGACATAACAAAGAGAGAGGGAGGAGTAAAACCCAAGAAAACCAAGTAATGCACAATGCAATTGCCCACCACCCGCTGACTGATCCCCAAGCAGCAATTGGCCTCTCCTGGCCAACTCCCCCAGTTTCTGTACTGACCATGATGCTCTATGGTATGGAATATCCTATGGAATATCCCTTTGGCCAGTTTGGGTCAGCTATCCTGGCTGCGCTCCCGCCTAGCTTCTTGTACACCTGCTCGCTGGCAGAGCATGGGAATCTGAAAAATCCTTAACTTAGGATAAGCACTGCTTAGCAACAACTAAAACATCGGTGTGTCAAAAGGCAGTACTGTACCAGCTACTAGGAAGAAAATTAACTCTATCCCAGCCAAAACCAGGACACTTTGTATGTGTTTTATACACAATGAAGCACACTGAATGTGCTCTACTTACCACCTATTATTTTATCCTAGGCCACATAATTTTGTGTATTTTGGTCGGCTACGTGTCTGAGCTGAGCCCTGTGATCTTTGTAACCAATGGTCACTTTTATTTCATGCCTGCGTAGTGCCTATAAAATGGGGCTTCGTGACAGCTCACCAAATTGTTAGTTGCTAGATGTCTGCCTGGTTTGGGTTTTTTTGGAGGAGGTGATGTGGTGTTGTGGTTGAGTCTTTTGTTGGGTGGGATGTTTTTGTTGGTGGCTTTGTTTTGTTTTGGTTTTCCCCTAAGATGAGACATCAAGAATTGAGTAAGACGCGACTGGATGAACCTTTCCTAAGATAAGTCAGAAATGCATTTTGAGGATCCACCAACATTTGGTCGAAGATCCACCAGCATTTGATCCTATTCCTTTAAGAGGGAAATTCATGTGGCACATCACTGTTAGAGCATTATTAGCAGGATGTAGTCAAACTTAACTTTCTTCCTCTTTGTGAAAGGTCCATTTTAGCTTCTTACTTACTGAAAGAAAAACTGAACATTCTTGGCAAGCTGGGGTGTTTACTGAGCTGCGCTGGGTCTGTTGTTCTCATCATCCATTCCCCAAAGTCCGAAAGTGTAACGACTCAGGCTGAGCTTGAAGAGAAGCTTACAAATCCAGGTACTTTGTTCTTTTATTAACTCATAATGATTTTGTGAGATTGATCAAGAGCAAGCAGGAGGAAGAGGCTTACCACTTCTACCAGGTCCGAAAATTGACTTCTGAAGAAACCGTGATGTGACAGAGGGAAAAGAGTACAGCTTTTGTGTAGGAAAACTATATCTTGCTGTACTTGGAATGCATCAGATTTAGTGATACACGTGTGCAGAGAGGAAAATTTGGATAGTTTTGAAAACATTATCCTGCACAACAAGCTCAGAACAATGGCCATTTGAACTTGTAATTTTCTAAATTATGAAAAAGTGTATCTTTGTACTTAGAGATGAAAGGTATAATTCTAGGATCTCAATTTAAGTTGTTTTACACAAAACAAAAATACTGATTGTCTTTTGTTCTTTAATTCTGCATTTGTTTTTTTAATTAGAAGTTTATACTAGATACGATTTCCAGGCAGATTTCTTTGCGCAATAAGGTGTGTAGAAATAGACTGGTGAGGCGCATATGCTGAAATGCCTATTCTTTCTCACAGAGAATGTGAAGCCCCACTAGCTGCTGGAGGGCACGTACTAGTGCTAATACATGCTAGACCCACTTTTATTTTTCTTGCATAAGAGCTAAACCGCCAACTATTGTTATTTCCTTTAATTGCTTCAGGTGAGAGAAACTCAGTAACATCAGCTACTCAAAAAATTTGCAAACAAAGAAAAGAAAACAAATACCCTGGTCTAAATTTACCATTTGAATCTGACCAAAATTAATTGGAAATACATTTCTTTAAAACTGTAAAGCATGAAATGCTTTTCACCAGTCTAATCTGTGTACTGATGCTATAATGTAAATGATACAGCCTCCTGATTCTTCCAACTGTCCCTACTCGTCTCGCTCACCTTAATAGGATCTAACTTTACGTTTAAGCTCTTTGCTGGATCTACTCACCATGCTTTATTGAACTGGTTGTGAATGAGGTGTTATCACGGCTGTCTGTCACAGGGGACTTTAAGCGGTATAGTCCTGATGGAAGAGAGAAGCAAATAAAAAACGCCATGTTAAATTCAGTTCAAATGTGCAACAGAGTGTGTATTTTACTACGTGATTATTTGTTTTACCCAAAGAGTGTGACAACCTTATCAGTTGCAGATGCCTACAGCATCTCAAAAAGCTCAGTGATTTGGGTCTATATTCAATAACAAATCTTAATCCTGGTCTATACCTGCAGTTCACTGGTATGATGTGATTTGCCTGCTAGAATCTTTAGAAGACCAAGAGTTCTTACCTTGCTATTGTCTTGTTTTCTTCTTGTTTTCCAGTTTTCGTGGGTTATCTCTGCATAGTGCTGCTAATGCTTCTCCTGCTTATCTTCTGGATAGCTCCAGCTCATGGACCTACTAATATCATGGTTTACATCAGTATTTGCTCTCTGTTGGGCAGTTTCACTGTTCCCAGCACAAAAGGCATTGGGCTGGCTGCTCAAGATATCTTTCACAATAACCCATCAAGTCAAAGGGCTCTGTACCTCTGTCTGGTACTTCTGGCAGTATTAGGATGTAGCATCATCATTCAGTTCAGATACATCAATAAGGCACTGGAGTGTTTCGACTCCTCTGTGTTTGGTGCCATCTACTACGTTGTGTTTACCACCCTAGTCCTGCTGGCTTCAGCCATCCTTTTCAGGGAATGGAGTAATGTAGGAGTGGTAGATTTCTTGGGAATGGCTTGTGGATTCACCACAGTATCTATTGGAATTGTTCTTATACAAGTCTTCAAGGAATTCAACTTCAATATCGGGGATTTAAATAAACCTAACATGAAGACAGATTAAAATAGTTTTTGAGGGGAAACTGGATGGCTCAGGGAAGGATGCAGAGCCTTTCATTTCTAGGTCACTGATTCAAATATGCTTCAGGTTGGTAGTTACCCTCTGACGATTTGGTGGCCTACGGGAAATGAATTGGAGGCCTCCATCCAGTTTCAAAGGAACAATTGTCCATGTACCCCAGTCACCACAATAAATGACCTTAATTGGAACCACTGATTGAGTCAGCATAGAGACCGATGTATTTCCTTACTGTAAAAGGTAATCCATCAGAAAAGAACTGGGGATATTCTGACAGACCTGTGAGTGAGAGCTTGTATTGTGGCTTCTGAGGTACCGTTTCTGTGGGCAAAGAACATCAGTTTCTAATGCACTCAATCTGACACCTTTCATGAGTGAGGTATACCTTAAAAATATGGGGGCGAAAAAGTGAGTGGAACAATTTGTTAATCTCAATATAGCAATGTGTTCACCGTCAAGGCTGTGAATTCCGAGATAAATGTTGGTTGAACCATGGACTGCAGATTTGTCCTTTTTAGCGACTGTCTTGGCAACTTGGTCTGCCATGTGGTGAAGACACTGGGGAGTTTTAAATTGAATTCTTTATACAGAGCAGTGGACCCTTAAAAATCTTTCACTAATTACTTATCAGCTGATGGCAATGTCCAGGCCTGCATTTTTCTTTTTATGTGCATTAAGACATACCGCATTCATCTGAGATTTTTTTAATTGGGAGCAGACAGAAAGACTGGGAAGGATGTGGAAATGATGCACAGACTCATTGCCTATATGGTGGCTTATTTGTAAGCAGCTCAGAACTATTTCAGTGCCTTTGTAATCCAAAATACTGCATAAATGTGAATGTATTTGTTTCAGATGGCCTATACTGGTTTAATAATTCAATTTCACTGTCTAGAATGTTGGACTGTATTCGAATTCTGAACACATAAAGCATCCCAAAGGAACCACACACCTTTGGAAGAATTTACAAACCTGAACTGAAATGCTTAGATGCCTTGACAGTTTCTGAAAAATCCGTAGTCCTAATGGGAAGAGGTGATCTACAGGAGGACTCTTAAGCAGTCCAGTGTACCTTTATTTTAGTTAAGTGACTGAATATAGGAAATCATTTGGTGAAGTAGCTAATAAGCAGGGACCACAAAAAAGAAGACAGAAGAGCATGAGATTTCTCAAAAAAAGATGGTCTGATCCTCTTGTGACTTCGGAAAGGGAGGTTAAAGACTGAAAAAGCATAGGCATTCAGACAGCTGAGTTTCAGATAAGCAACAGGGATATACATTCAGATCCAGCAACTGAGAGACCTGTGTGAACAGTTCAGCCATAATATTTTGACAAGTAGTACGGATAGCCTAACCTATGATTGCAATGATTCTGAACTGCTCAGTTTAAACCATTTAGAGAATATTGGTATGTCAAAGAAAGAAATAGTTAATTTTTATGTTCTACTTACATTTGGTAGTTAAGACACCACAGGTCAAAAACTTGTAAGGAAAACTCGAAAGGTAATAAATGTTGGTTTCTGTTTAAGTACAAAAAATGGAAGGGTACAGTGGAACTCAACATCTCTAGTTCAGAATGTCTCTTGAACAAAAAACCCCAATGTGCTTACAAGACAGTATTGGAAAAAGTTCATGACACTTTATCAGGAAATCGAATGTAGCTTTGTGGCTGGCTGACAGGAATGCGGACGTTGATTAATGAGGAGTAATACTGTCCACTCTTGTGATGTTTTCCATTGACCTGAATTAATGTTACCTTAAAAGTCAGCCTCCATTTTCATTTAAAAGGAATGTTATAAGCCCTTCCCATGGCAGTAGTAATAGTGAACAGTGCAGCCTAAAGATTTAGTGTTCTGAAGGGACTGTTCTGAGGGAGTAAGAGTCCCACTGTGTTATTTGGACGCTTGTTTTATAACTCCAAATTGGGGG